TTCCAGCAGCAGTACGCGGAACACCAGGCCCAGTACCAGAACAGGATGGCTGCTTATGATGAGCGCCTGGACATACTCCAGACCCAGCAGGGGGTGACTCTCGCACACATCGAGCGGGAGAAGCGCCGTTCACGGCGCATGCAGGAGGTCCAGCAGCACCTGCTCCAGCTGCTCCCGGGCGAGCAGCCCGTCTGGAGGACTCCCTGGGAGGACTCTCCACTTCCACCTCCCCCAGCGGATGGTGATGATGGTGCTGATGGCGCTGCTGGTGATGACGCCTTCATGGCCGAAATCGACATCGACTTGGATGATCTTGGCGACGAGTAGGCTGTACTCGTTGCCCGTCTCAGTGTGTTTTATTTTTCGTTTTAGACTTTTGTGTGTTTGCTCCATGTGTGAGGAGCTTGAACTTAGTGTCGGTTGTTTTTGTTTTTCTTTTGTGGTTTGTTTCTGTTGTAGCCATCTGGGCTAACACTTATCCCTAACGTACAGTGTGCTAGTGTGTTCTTGGTGTTCGATTCATGCAGAACTGTCCATCTACCCGTTTGTCTCTCGCTGACTGGTCCACTTCCAGTCCCCCAGCAGTATTTCCATCCGGTAACATCGTTCCCCTTATCTCTCCCTCTACTCCATTGAGGGCAATGTCGTGCTTAAGTGTGGGGGGGTGCTTTATATCGGTTGTAATATATATTTGTGTGCTTGGAGCCTAGTCCGCTGTCCGAATCTTACGATTTGAGGGCTCCAAGTACTGCTGTTTGATCATATTGGCACTGTGTTTTGATTGATGAATTGAATGGTTTTCGGATTGATGCATGACCGCTTGATTTTGACTAGGACAACCTATGATGAGGACTGAGATGTGCAGTAGAACGATGTAGGGGTTCAGTTTTTCAACTGTTTGCTTACCAACTGTGACTTGATTTGATCACTTGTTCTTGACAGTCGTTTATGCATCTAGCTCAGGGTATCAGAATGTGAGATAAAGCATATAGGTAGCCATGTGAGATTTGAGCCTGCTCGTTTCTTTCTTGTGCGATAGATCCCTCTTCCATGATGTGTAGCATTCACGTTGTCACTAGCTAAGATGATGGGGGCATAGGATTAGCCCACGACCAAAATTGACTGTCCTGATGTGTCATATCCCCTAGTCAGCCCCTTTGAGCCGTGTGTTATTCTTTCTTTTGGTCTATAATGAAATAATCACCCTTGTTGCATCTTTTAGAAGGTTCCACAGAGTGATTTTTACATATCCCCTGCTGTTTCTGCTAAATTGAATGTGAGTGTTGGAGGTAGTGCTTAAAAGTTGGGCAGATGTTTGAAATATGTACAGAAGTGGTGGCTCTCTTAAGAAATGAAAAGAAAAATGAAAGAAAAACAAAGAAAAATTGAAAGCAAAAGAGAGCCACTACCAAAAATCTGAATAATGCCCATTAAGTAGTGTTTCTTAGCAGTCTGGCTTGGAAATGTTGATGTTTATACCTCCTTCGCTCTTGTGCTCTTGAGATATTGAGTATTGCAGAATAGCAGAAAGGGAATACTGGTTTGTTTGATTGTGATTGTGTGGGTTTGGAAATGTGGAACCTTGTGCTATGAATACTTCCACCACCTAAAAGGCCTTTTCCCCATGTCCACGACCCTAGCCAGTCATTTGAACCTGTGTCTAAGACCTCCTGATTAGTTAGTGATGACATCCTATATGTGAACTCTAGCATTTAGAGGCTGCCATCATGGTGAAGAGATGTTAGGAATTGAGAGAAGTAGCATGCGCATTTTTCGCATTAAAATTGTCCTGACCCCACTGGTCGAGAGTGAGTGATTCATTTTCATATTCTTTATACTCTTGTACCCCGGTGAGGACCTAGATTGCTCGGTCTCTGTTCTGATGTCTTGAGTTGGGTGCATGAGTTGACTGTTTTGAGTGAGTGGTTGATTCAAGTCTAGGTTGGTTGGTGAACAGAAGGGAGACTCTTCCTTTACTCGATTGGCTGCACTCGAATGTCCTTTGTGGTGGTTGTCCAGGTTGCTATTGAGGTTGTTCATGTATTGATGTTTGAAAACCAGTACGATTCTTGTGTTCTGTGCCTTTATGACTTGTCTCCAATGTTGGTTGATTGAAATATGTAAGCTTACCTGGTGTCTGACTTGGTTTGCTTGGGGACAAGCAAACGGTTAAGTGTGGGGGAGTTTGATAGACCGTTATATACACATGTTTTTACCCCTGTTCCTACACCGTTTGAGGTGTTGATTCTCGTGTTTTAGGCCGATTTCACGCTAGGTTGTGCTTGTTTGTGATATTTCAGGTCCTAGTACGTGAATGGAGGCTTGGGAGCGAGTTTGGGGTCGATTGGACGAAGATCGGACACATGGCGAGGTTCTAAGGAAGCCACACGGGCAGCCCTGGGTATCACACGGCCGTGCAACTTGCAATTGTGGCTGTGTGATTTTTGCCGAGGCCAACCACGGGCATCCCAGGAAATCCACACGGCCGTGCAACCCTGGCCGTGTGAGATGGCTGAAGATCGAACTTAATGGGACGCTGCGTTTTGACTCACACTGCCAAATCGGCCGTGTGGCCTGCCCATGTGAGTCGGGAAATTCTGGTTTTTCAGCCAATTTCGAGCCAAAAGGGAGAGAATCGGATTTTCAGAGCAAAAACAGAGCCCTAGAGAGAGAAAGTACGAAGAACATATCCTGGAAGCTATCTTGGAGCTGGGTTTCGTCAAATCGAGCTTGGAGATCGTCATAGGAGTGGAAATCATCATCCCGGAGCAGATTTTTCTCATCATTATGAGTATGACTAATCCGATTACTGTTTTCTTCTCTCTCTCTATGAAGTAGAACCCTTCTCTCACTTGGGTATGAAGAACCCTAGTTCCTGGCGTTAGGGATTTGATTGTAATGACTTGAGATGATTATACTGTTTGATTTTAATCGAATGATGCATGTTTATTGAATTGTTTGAAGTCTGATCAGCTTTTCTCGATTTCTGCTGCAACCTGAGATAGATAGAATCTGATTAGGTTGTTAGAGCCTCTTCATTCGATAGTAGGAGATTGGTTATACGATAGTTAGCCAGTTTACTGCTTTGTACTGGAATTCAATTCCAGTAGTGGAGTTCTGTGCTTATTGCTTCAGCTTTCTATCCCGGTGAAGACTAGTCGTCTGCCGGGTAGTTAGACTGAGAGGGCTTGGTCAGCTTAAGAGATTCCAAGCTACTGTCGGATCTTCCGTAGTCTAATCAACAGTGAATCAACCCAGGGGAATTACAATTGAACCTAACTAAGGGGCTAGGGGGACTCATTCCTGCTTTTGAAAACCGAACCATTTACTACTTTCTTACTGCTTTTGCTTTAAACAACAATCACTCGAATTAGTTTGCTAGATAATAAATCATCACGGAGTAAGGAGTAGATCTAGACCCCGGGTTGATAATAGAACTTGCATGTTACTGCATTCCCGGACTGCGATTACACTTGGTCGCAGTTTGGTGTTGTGTTTTGGCGTGTCAGACTTCATCTGCATCAAGTGCACAAGCCTACATCACCTGATACACCACATGCTCGTGACTTGAGACTCCACCTCACCGAAGAGAACCTCAACTTCAAGGAGGTTCTGGGGTGGACCGAAACTTAAAAGCCATCGTCCGACTCACGACGTGAAAGAAGAGTTTGTTGGGAGGCAACCCAACAAGTCGATTTGCATTTACTTCCCTATTTCTCTTTGGTTGAGTCGGTTTTGTTCTTTGCTTTTAGAGTCAATAACTCAACTTTTGTGAGTTTTTGTGGTGTTTGTGTTCCAACTACTCTCTCTCCTCTTGGAATGCCCCGCCTGCCCTGCGCACCATCATTCACACTTGATATGATAACTTCATTCTATGCTCTTTATCTTTCCTCTATTGAGGACACCGTCGTGTATAAGTGTGGGAGGTGCTCGATTATGTATGTGTGTGAATGTTTGGTTATATGTGTGTGTTTGGAGCGTACTCCACTGTCCAAATTTCGATTTGAGGGCTCCAAGTACGTGTTCCTTGAAATTTCCTGTCAGTATGCTTTAAATTGACAGTCTTTATAGTAATATGAAACCTAGGGAGTAGTGTAGCACTATGGAGGATATTGATGCAGTTAAGAAGTCTCCTTTCTTCTTCATATTGTGTTGGTTGATTGTGTGAATTAGTGATATTAGGACACTTGAATCATGTGGTATCGATGACTCTCTCCCCCTCATAGACTCCTGTATCATGTTTTGAAAAAGTTGCTATAAATTGTGATTTTAAAATAACGTATCCCATGTGGAAATTGGTGAAAGTGTGTGTAAAAGGAGACGCGAATCCGTTCCCGCTTCCATATACTACCTCCGGCTCCTTTGCACATCTTTTCCCTACATGAGGCTTGATACATCTTCTCCCGGCATGGCCAATAAGAGCCTCTCCCGGCATGGCCGGTAAGAGCTGGGATCCCTAAAAAACTTTGCTAGGTGGGAGCCCCATTTTCTGAAAATAAAAAGTTGGAATCCATACAAAAAGAAACAAAAAAGAGAAACAAGAAAATGAAAAAAAGAAGAAAGGGGGTTCCAACCATCTTCAAAGAAAGAATAGAACACCTAAAAATTTGAGTCCATGATTTTTCTAGTTTTTAGAGACTCATTATCCAATGATCATTTGTCCTACGATCACTACTTGGCATGATCCCGACTCGGGACTAGAGTTCTCGCCGAATAATCTAGGAGGTGTCTTGGGAGTTGGTTGACCTCGTAAGCTGCTAAATGTCCTAGGAAGTCCTCTACCGATGACAGGGGTTGCGTTTTGCTGTAGAGGTATGGAGAGTTGCATTGGTTTGATTCAGATTTGATTGGGGACAAGCAAAAAGTAAAGTGTAGAGTAATTTGAAAACACTAAATTTTCAAATGTTTGCACCCTCGTTTCTTGATTGTTTAGCTTGGTATTTATCATAATTTGGCCTATTTTATGATAAGTTATGTTCCCTTGTTACATTGTGGGTTCTAGCACATAAAGTGAAGCATATGTACAAGTTTCAAGTCAATCGGAGATCAGTTGACGACTCGGGGAAGAAAATCGGTCATGACCTGAAGAAGAATGGATTTCTACCTCGTTTTGTGACCAAATAACCATGTAAACTTATCATTAAAAGAAAGACGATGAGACTACGAGCGTCTGGGATCAAACGACACCTGATTCGGAGTCCAAACAAGAGAGAAACAAAGAATCAAAGACAAGGAACCCATAATGGTGAAATCCCCGGTCTGGAGAAATCCCAGAGAGGGGATTAGGAACTCCGGTAGGGGATTTTGATCAGAAGAAATCCTCGGCCAGGAGGTCCAATTATCCGAACGGGTATATTAAAACCCAACCGGGTAATTCCCCTTTTGCACAAAAAAGTGACCCGGAGGGTTTTGAAGATCCCCGGTCACCAAGTACAATTACCCGACCGAGTAATACGACCGGGGAACTTCCAGTTCCAGAAGTGGTATAAAATCCTGTTTTGTGTGTTTGAGGGGGAGAACTGGGTTTTAGTTGACAAATACCCAAGAGACAAACCAAAGAGAGATAAGGTGATCTTAGAGCAAAATTGGAGGATTTATGCGCCTTGGAAGCTCAAGGAACAAGCCCAGACATGAAGATTGAAGATCTAGAAAGTTATATTGTATTCTCTCTCTTCTCTATGGAGTAACATCCCTTCACTTAGGTTTTGAGGAACCCTAGATTTGTATGCTAGGAAGAGTTGTATGAACTCGAATTCATGATTGATTGACATATATATTATATTCAGTTGAGGTTTTTATTCAGAATTGCTTGAGTCCTGATCAAATTCTTGTGATTCCTGCTTTGACCTAGAATGATAGTCTCTGCATAGGTTAATAGAGCACCTTGAATTGGAGGTAGACAGGTAGTGAATCGATGACTTTAGCCGAGAAGTCGATTCACTGCTCTATACTGGTGTAGAACCCAGTAGAGGAAGTTTGAATCTTATTGCCTCAGTTAGCTTATACTGATGGAGGTTAGTTGCCCGCCGGGTATTCAAACTGAGAGGGTCTGAAACACTTTAGTCGAGACTCCAGAATGTTTTAGAACTTTTTGCCGTGTAGATGTGAGCTGAATTGAATTGAGTGAATTACAACTTGGACTAACTGCAATTTAGGGGGAATCATACCTAAGTGAGTTCCCAACCTGTAATTAGATTAACTTTAATTATAGTTTGCTAGAGTAGTTATAGATCTTTTATCTTAATCTTGTTTGATAGATAATGAACTGAAGCTAACTAATAGTAACTGTAGAAACCCGTGAATTTGATATTTATTACTTGCACCACTATACTACAGTCTCTTTCATTGGTTACATTTGGTCATTCTTAAGAGTTGTGTTTTAGGGAGTCAAAAAGGGATTATCCATTTTATTATATATCCGAGGAAATATATTTTGGATAACCTATGACCATCATCTAGGCATTTACCATTCTCTATAATCCTTCGTCGCCCTTTGGCTCATTCTTTTTAATTTGAAATTTCCAAAAATGCGCATATAAGAAACATATTCAATGTGGTCTATAAAATCAGTGGCGGACCCAAAAATTTTATCAAGGGTATTCAACAATATAAATAATTAATAAATCTTAAATCAATTTAAAAATTCTGAAAAAATTAATCCATATAGTACATCGGTTCATCGTTTTTCACAACGAACCACAACATATTTTTCATATTTAGTTTTTTTTCTAAAATACACTTGTCACTTATGTTGCGACTCGTACATTTTTCAATAAACGAAAAAATCATTAATAAACTGGTCCCCCATCCGATTTTGAAGATTGCTCTTGACGTATTCCAGCATACCAGGATGGATTAAATCCACTCATCTGAGAAATGAGAGAAGTAGGATGAGTTGATTGATAATGACCCTTTTGAATATATATACTCTCGAATTCATCTTGCTTATTAGTAGGATTCAGTAGAAAATAACCATAGATCATCTTTCAAATTATTCACATTATCTATCTCATTCTCCTGGTTTAGAGGGGGACTTACAAGGGCACAATTGATTGAACGAAAGTAAAGAAGATTGAGTTTCTATACGTTGGTTTTTGCTCGATTCTCCATTATCCTTTTTCAGATTTAGAGTAATCATCGATCTTTATCAAATATATTTGTCAATATAAGATTTTACAAGGTCATATAACTATGGAAGTTGATTAGTTAACAATAATATCATAAAAGACTTGGAATCGGAAGATTAATGTGTTTAGGAATTAGTTTGGGTGTTTAGACAAGTTTGTTAACGGGAAGTCTAATATGAAGATCCAAGGTTTGTCAAATTGAGCAAGGTTCAAATATGGCCAAGAATTATACATATTTTATTGCATTAATAAGGTTCAACTTTTTAACCAAGGTTTGTCAATTGACAACCCTTAAGAAGGAGTAGGTTCACCCCTGTATAAAATTATTTCCAATTTATATATTTTTAAGTCAATTATGCTCACCCTTCTATCTATCTAACTATAATTTATATTATGATTGTTCTACAACAATTTCTTGCCACGTAGGATTCAAGAAACTTCACAATTTTCCATGTCATCTTTGTCATTTTAGTTTTCTTTATTTTTTATGTTCCACTTAGCTAAAAATAATGAAGAGATATATAATCTTCACAGAGACTCGAACTTAGAACCTGTCGTGACCAAATTAACATCATTTAGAGTGTTTAATCAATAGAATAAATGCAATTTGATGCTATCAACCACATCAAGATCACTACTTATGTCAACCACAACAAGATTATTACTCATGTCATGAAATGGTTTAAAACCTTCCCTTTGAATGCGATTTCTTGCTTTACCGTTTGATCTTCTACTCAATTATAAAAAACATATTCCATAATTTTGACATATACTAAAGCAATAAAAATGCCTACGATATTTTATATTCACCATAGAAAATCATTAATGAATAAAATTAACTTATGTTTAGATTATTTTCATAGTATGTTCAATAAAACTTTGAACAAAATCATAAATGAAAAGCCAAAAATTAATTATTAAATAAATCCAAGTACTTAGTCAATTTTATGTCATGTTCATTTGAAGTTGAAAAATATGAGAAATGAAAGGATAATCTTATTTGGTATTATATCAAACCAATAATGTAATATTTTATCTTTACTACTATAAATATGTGTACTAATACACTCACATAGCTACACTCAAATATGTGTGCATACTGCATTATTTATTTATAATATTATGAAATCAAATGCTAACATGCTAAGTAAAAAATATTATATATTCACGTTTTTATTTGACATTTTTCTACATCATAAAATTATTAAAATATACATACATAGTTCAATCATGTGCCACATAATATATGATAATTCAAACACCATAAAATAACTAAAACATAACTACTTACTTTTTTCCAAAACAATATATCATGGTAAATTTCATTTTAAGAGTAGATTTATTCCATTTTTTATGAAAAAAACAAAATAAAATTCAAGTTCCAGAAAAGTATCACAACCATTAAATTTTATCTTTCAAAAAAATTGAAGTGGACTTGGATCACCTTTTTTGCATTTCAACTTTGCTCAAGTTAGCATTGTTTGCCAAATTCCTTTTCTTTTCCACCTTTTTTCTCCCACAAATACAACACATTTTCCCAAACATTAGTATGTTGGCTCTTCTAAATCTCTATCATTCATAAATGTTAAAATGAAATCATCCTCCGCATTATGCTTATGCTTCATTGTTGGTCAGTGAATGATTAGAACAATCTAGGACACCACCTATCAACATACATATGCATTTAGACTTCCGACTCGTCCCGAATATCACAATAAAACTCCCAATGAAGGCCCAAGCATAAACCTTTTCCCCTAGCTAGCAATTATGACTTGTTGGATCGAATGTACACGTGTCGTAAGGAGGTTGTAAACCGTAGGGAAGTGCAACAAGTGGACAAACGCCACTCTCTTGGTCAATAGGTCAAGGGAATTCGATTCAAGCCACCATAGTAGCTCTCTTGACCTATTTACTAAGGATTGCCAAGACTTCACCCTCGAATCGGAGTTCGGACAGTCAAATTACAACCAACCCTAGCTGCTAATAATAACAAAGAGATTTTTCCTACATTAACCTAGACAGGAGACAAGATTTGCCTAAGAAAACGCAGCTTTACAAATCTCTTTCAAATAAAGGGGACTTTTCTCTACCTAAGTTAGAATGGAAAATAGATTGATAGGCAAATACACAACACAATCTTCCATGAAAATACCACCAAATTCATTATAAAACACATCCACACATAAATCATTCATTTCATACAAACATTCACATAATTGTAGCTAGGGTTTACTTACACCCAAGTGAAATAAGGGACTACTCCATGCTAGGAGAAGGGAAAACACAAGAGAGAAGAAGGGAAACCATTATGGAGATGCTAGCCTTGCTCCTTATGTTGAAGAGATCCTCCTTTAGGGAAGGAATTCCCAAAATCTTGCTTGAAGATGAAACCCTAGCTTCTTCTCTTCTTTGGTTCGTCACTTTCTCACTCTACAAATCTGAAGAAGTTCTCACAATAGGTCTCACCCCTTTTTTGCTTTAGCTCAAACCCCTTTTTATACCCAGTCGGGCTCACATCACTGGTCCCAGTTCACAGCCATGAACTCAAGGCATGGACCGTGATCTCAGGCCAAAACGCGCCACATCAATAATCCAGTTCACGGTCTGCAGCTTGGGTTCACGGTCTTACGATCGTGAACTGGCTTGAGTCCAGTGAAATTAAAAATGTCCCCGGATGCCAGGCGGTTCACGGTTTGCGGCTCCAATTCACATCGGCCTGACCGTGAACTAACGACTTCCATCGTGATCTGCTACTGCCTCCATCCTTTGACCCGATTTTTGCCTTTTCGTCCAACTTTCGACTCCAGGGTTAGTTCCACTTGCTATAGACTGAAATGCACAAAATCGTGACAAAATCCAGCATAAAACCAAACATTCCAGAGTAAAAATGCCTCAAACGACTAAGGAAACTGGAGGTAAAAAGTGTACAATTGAGCCCAAATCACTCCCCCACATTTAGAATTTCGCTTGTCCCCAAGAAAACCATTTTCCACCAAGGTGATATCTCAACCTAACAAAATAAGTTGGGGACAAATCAAAAGGCACAAAGTGGTGAATCTCAATGGCTATTGGGCATCAACGTATGAACCGCCTCAAACAATACCGACATCTACCACAAACGACATTCGAATGCATCGAGAATTGGAAAATAAAAAGTTCTCACCATCGTTCAAAAATCAATGCAAGTCTCAACCGGACTACTCACCCACCACAACTAACCTTGCATAGAACTCAAGTCCAAGGAACAAACGAAAAGGCAACAAAGGTCCTCACCGGGGTAGGATATGAAAATGCAAAACAAGAATGAATCACTCACTCTCGACCAGTGGGGTGATGACCTTTTTGGTGCAAAAGATGTGCAAAACCATCAACACTCAGCCCTATCGTCTCTCCATCACAGCGGAAACCTCTAAATGGTAGATTTCACGGGGTGGTTGTCATCACTAGCTTGTCTGGAGGTCTTAGACACGGGTTCAAATGACTGGTAATTGTTTTGGATATGGGGAAAAAGATTTTTGGGTGGTGGCAAACATAGCATGAGGTCCTACATCTTCAACCTAATAACAAAGGTTCCATGGTTTCAACTAAGAACCTTTCCTACGATCAACGACCACTAGCATCGGCCAAAAACCACACTTCCCTTCTTCCAAGCCACTATCAATCACTAACATCATTCAACACACTCCTCGATTTCTTCTTGCTATTTACATATCCACCCTAGTAGTGAAGGAGGTTATCAACAAATTTAGGTGTTTCAATGGCTTGAGTGTCAAGAAACCCTTCTTAGAGCATACGCTAAGAGTTTTGTGGCTACTATCTACTTTTATTTACACCGTTTTATTACCTCTTTTCCTGTTTCTTTTGTTCTTTCTTTCTTTTTCTCTTTTTTTTTTTCCTTTGAGAGGGGGGGGGGGGGGTACTAGAGAGTACAACACATGCCACTTATCCTTAAACGAACAATGCTCTCAATAGAGAACTTTCCTCCAACACTACCTTATCATTTCTAGCAAGAATCGTGCAAGACCACCTATGTAGAACCTCAATGGAGCTTAAAAGCGAGAACTCCGAGACACAAGGATGACTCACAATTTGACACGAAGAAAGGATGTCAGGTCGTTCTTTCAATCACCATTACGCTCAAAAAGCACAAAGCTCCTAACATTAGGACGGCTCCCAAAGTCACACGGCTCTAAGGGGTTGACTAGGAGATAAGATGTTTCGGGAAATCAACTTTTGGGCATGGAATAATCCTATGCCTCCATCATACTCACTAGTGACAACGGTGAATGTTACACACCATGGCTAGAGGGATCTTGATAGCGTCGTATTTGCATATGTTTTCACCCTCGTTTCTTGATCATTTTGCCTAGAGTTTTTGATTTCTTGGACTATTTTACGCTATTTTGTGTTCCTTTTTCACAGTTCAGGTCCTAGCATGTAAATTGAAGCAAAGGCGCAAGTTTCAAGTCAATCGGAGATCATTTGGCAATTCGGGAGAAGAAACACGAGCATGACCTGAGGAATAATGGATTTCTACCTCATATTATGGAAAAATTATCATGGAAGTTTGTTATGAAAAGAAAGAGGACGAGACTACGAGCGTCTGGGTTCAAACGACGACTGATTCGGAGTCCGGACAAGGGAGAAACGAAGCATTAAACAGGAGCGGAGGAAGAATTACGGGCAGGAAAATTATGACCGTATTTGCCCCTCCCATGCTCGTATTTTCACTGCCGAGAGGAGCTTTGGGTGCACTGAAACTTAACCAAAACGCGTGTTTTGGGCAAAATACGGGCATGGAAGAATTACGACCGTAATTCAGCCCGTAATTCGCCAAGAATCGGGTTTTTGAGGCATATTCGAGCCAAAGGAGAGGGAGTCGACTTTTTGGAGCAAAAACAGAGTTTTAGAGAGAGAAAGGGCGAAGAAAAAACCCTAGGAGCTATTTTGAGTGGATTTCTCACCATTGAAGCCCGGATTGGATCCCCAGGAGTGAAGATTGACATCCCAGAGCAGATTCTTCCCATTGTTATGAGTATGACTGCTTTGTATTCTGTTTCCCTCCCTCTCTCTCTCACTTGGGTATGAAGAACCCTAGTTCCATGTCTTAGGAATTTTGATTGTAATTACGTTTGGATTGTGAAATTGCTTGATTATAATCGATTGAAGTGTTTTGTTTGAGTCAATTGAAGTCTGATCACCTTTTATTGATTTCTGCTGCAACCTGAGATAGATAGAATCTGATTAGGTTGTTAGAGCTTCTTCGATCGGTATTAGTGAATCGATTATACGAGAGTTAGTCAATTCATTGCTTTGTACTGGAATCTAATTCCAGTAGTGGAGTTCTGTGTTCATTGCCCAGCGTTCTATCCCGGTGAAGACTAGTCGTCTGCCGGGAAGTTTGACTAAGAGGGCTTGGTCAGCTTAAGAGATTCCAAGCTACTGTCGGATCTTCCGCAGTATAATCAGCAGTAAAGCAACCAAAAGTAATTACAACTGAGACCTAACTAAGGAGCTATGGGGACTCATTCCCGAGTGACTCTTCCTTTGCTTTAGAAAACTGAACCATTTCCTCCTTTCTTACTGCTTTTACTTAAATCAACAATCACTTGACTTAGTTGGCTAGATAATATATATTCACAGAGTAGGCAGTAGATCTAGACCCCGGGTTGACATTAGAGCTTGCCTGTTACTACATTTCCGGACTGCGATTACACTTGGTCGCAGTTTGGTGTTGTGTTTTAGCGTGTCAAGTTTTTGGCGCCGTTGCCGGGGACCCTCTAGGTTATTTGGGAAACGTGAAAGTTTGTTACTCTAGCTTTTTCTTTACTGCATTTTCTCTCTTCCACCTGTGTGCCTTCACGGGTTGCTTTTGCTGATTGTGTGCAGGTAGTGCATGACCCGTAGCCAGTCGGGAGATTTACTACCATTGGACCAAGAGCTTGGGAGAACCTGTAGGAACTTCAAGCGGCCTCTAAAGGCGCGACTGGCTGCGGAGGAGGCCTTAACACAGCTGCAAATCACCGAGGAGGAAGAGATGGGTGACCCACAGAACCATGATGTGGTCTTTCCTGAGGAGCAAACCATGGGATATTACTGGACCGCCAGAGCCGCGGACATGAGGTCGCCCATTCAGCACCCTCAAGTCCCAGCCAACAACTTTGAGGTGAGCACCTCGGTCATCACTATGTTGCGCGGCTCGGTATTATTCCGTGGCAAAGAGGGGGAGTGCCCCCGATCACATCTGAGGCGATTCCATGAGCTCATCGATGGAATCAAGATAAATGGGGTCCCTGCCGATGCCATCCAGCTGAGGTACTTCCCATTCACTTTGGAGGGGCAGGCAAAGGAGTGGCTGGACACCAGGCCCCCTGGATCGATCACCACGTTCGCCAACCTGGCGGACAATTTCCTCACTCGCTACCATCCCCCGCCCAAGACGGTGGACCTGCAGAAGCAGATTACTCACTTTGTTCAGGATGAAGATGAGACCATCCGAGATGCTTGGAGAGATACACTAGTCTTTTCCTCAAGTGTCCAAACCATGTTTTACCGACGTCTTCAAGGTGGGCACCTTCTACCATGCCCTCTTCCTGGAAGATAAGCAGCTGATTGATTCGGTTTGTGGCGGGAATATGCTTACCAAGACCCCGCCACAGCTGAATCAACTTTTTGAAGAGATGGCAGAGCATGGCTATGATTGGGGAACTGCCAGGAGATCGAGAAGAGCACCAGGGCGGGGTGTACATGTTGTAGCCACCCAGTCATCTGATTTGGTGAAGGTGGTATCGAAGCTGGTTTCAGCCATTGATCGATCTGGGATGATTTAAGGTACCAAACAGCAGCAGGCGATGTACTGCCAGTGGTGTGAGAGCTCCCATCACACCGTGGAGGACTGCCAGACGATGAGGGAGTCGACCACAACCCAGGAGCATGTGAACTTCATCAATAATGCTAGGCGCAATGACCCCTACAGTAACACGTACAACGAGGGGTGGCGCCAGCATCCCAACTTCTCCTGGGATGGGGCCAATCCTAGACCACCAGCCTCCCAAGGACTGCCGGGCTTCCAAAGGCCGCCATATCAGCCTAGATAGGGGCAATTCCAGCAGCAACAACAGTCTCTCTACCAGCCCATGCAGGGGCATGCTGCTCAACCACAGCCGCGACCTTTCTAGCAGCCAGGTGCAGCCCCTGCAACCCTAGTGCAGAATGATCCGATGGCTGAATTGCGGGACTTGGTGGGTTCTCTTGCCAGTTCCAGTGCTCAGAAATTCAATACTATCGAGCAGTTCATGGAAAAGGCCTCGGGTAAATTCCTGACTCTTGAAGCTAGCCAGAGGAACACACAGGCTATCTTGCAGGATATCCAAACCCAGCTGGGGAGTGTGGCTCAAGCAGTGGCACAGAGGTCTCTAGGTACCTTGCCAGGTCATACCATTCCTAATCCGAAAGAGCCGAATGCCCACTGTAATGCCATCACAACAAGGAGCGGCAAAGTGACTGCAGACCCACCTATCCTGGCCAGACAAGCGGGAGGTGGACCTGCCTCGGCATCTCCAGTTGTTGAAGAAGAAGCAGAGAAGGAGGTTGATGTGCCTGCGCCTAAGCCGCAACCAGTAGTGAAGGAGTATATCCCTCAACTCCCTTTCCCTACTCGGTTGCACAAAGACACGCTAGAGGCAGAGTTCGGGAACTTCATGTCCATGCTTAGGAAGCTGAATGTACAAGTGCCCTTTCTGGAGGCACTATCTCAAATGCCCAAGTATGCAAAGTTCCTGAAGGATCTTCTCTCAAAGAAGCAGAAGCTGAGTGAGTTGGCCACTGTGGAGCTCAGAGAGGAGTGCTCGGCCATTCTGCAGAACAAGCTTCCGCAGAAGCAGAAGAACCCAGGTAGTTTTACTATCCCATGCTCTATAGGTAAATTGCATGTAGAGAGGTCCTTGGCGGATCTAGGTGCTAGTATCAATGTTATGCCATATAAATTGTTCAAGAAACTAGGCCTAGGTGAACCCCGTGCAACTAGGATGAGTCTTCAATTAGCTGACCGATCTATAGTTCACCCTAGGGGCATAGTGGAAGACCTTCTAGTTAAGGTTGGCAGATTCTTTTATCCTCTGGATTTTGTTGTCTTGGACATCAATGAGGACACAGAAGTGCCCCTTATACTGGGACGGCCTTTCCTGGCCACCGCCAAGGCTCTCATAGATGTACATGATGGGACCTTAGTCTTGAGGGATGGAGAGGAGCGAATAACATTTTCCATTGCTAATACTCGCCCTACTTCATCGCCTTTGCATGTGGTTTCTCACCAGGAGCACGAGTCTGTCGTGTATCCTTCTGTGCTTCCCATTTTGCAGGATCTCCTTCCATATTTTTGACGCCACTCCCGTCCACTCTATCACCAAAGGAAAAGATCAAAGGGGAGTGGCGACCGAAACTGCAGGTAGCTAAGCCTGCTCACAAGAAAGCCGGAGACCACTATGAGTTGGTCCCGCCTCCTGAGCCTCGACCACCTTGGCCATCCGAGTATTCACTCGCTTGCATCCTGCCGGATGGCCAGGTCGAGTTGACGAGTGCTGGTGGTCACACCCATCGTGTGCATGGCCACCATCTGAAGCTGTACCTCAAGAGTGATGTGGATCCGCTCTTGGAGGCACCTGTTCCTACACCTTTCTGAGTATCCACCCTACTGGCGTCCAGCTAAAAGACGGTAAAGAAGCGCTTGTGGGGAGGCAACCCCACCAAGGTTTGTTTTTCTTTCATTTGTTTTTCGGTTTGTTCACTTGGAACTATGGTTTCTATCACCCAGTGTGTTTTGATGATGCTAGCCCCGCTGACTGGTCCACTTTCAGTCCCCCGACAGTCTTTCCTTCCGGTAACATCGTTCCCCTTATCTTTCCCTCTGCTCCATTGAGGGCAATGTCGAACTTAAGTGTGTGTGTGGGGGGGGGGTGCTTTGTATTGGTTGGAATCTGTTTATGTGTGCTTGGAGCCTAGTCCGCTGTCCAAAACTCCAAATCTCGAGATTTGAGGGCTCCAAGTATCGTTGTTTGCATGATCATATTGGCACTGTGATTTGATAGGTGAATCGAATGGTTTTCGGATTATTGCATGACAGCTTGATTGTAGCTAGGACAACCTATGATGATGATTGAGACGTGCAGTAGAATTGTGTAGGGGTTCAGTTTTTCAACTGTTTGCTTACCAACTGTGATTTGGATTGATCACTTGTTCTTGAAAGTCGTTTATGCATCTAGTTCAGGGAATCAAAATGAGAGATAGAGCAAATAGGTAGCCATGTGGGATTTGAGCATGCTCGTTTCTTTCTTGTGCGATAGATCCCTCTTCCATGATGTGTAGCATTCACGTTGTCATTAGCTAAGATGATGGAGGCAATGGATTAGCCCACGACCAAATTGACTGTCATGATGTGTCATATCCCCTAGTCAGCCCTTTGAGCCGTGTGTTATCCTTTCTTTCGGTCGACAATGGAAAATCACCATTTTGCATCTTTTAGAAGGTTCCACAGAGTGGTTTTTACATGTTCTCTGCTGTTTCTGCTAAATATAATGTGAGGGTTGGAGGTAGTGCTTAAAAATTGGGCATGTGTTTGAAAAATGTGCAGAGGTGGTGGTTCTCTTAAGAAATGAAAAAAATAAAGAAAACAAAGGAAAAAATGAAAGCAAAAGAGAGCCACCACCAAAAATATGAATAGTGCCCATTAAGTAGTGTTTCTTAGTAGTCTGGCTTGGAAATGCTAACATTTATATGACCTCCTTCGCTCTTGTGCTCTAGAGAATTTGAGTCATGCAGAATGGCAGATTGGAAATACTGGTTTGATTGGTTGTGATTGTGTTGGATTTGGAACTGTGGAACCTTGTGCTTTGAATATTTCCACCACCTAAAAGGCCTTTTCCACATGTCCAAGACCCTAGCTAGTCATCTGAACCTGTGTCTCAGACCTCTGGATTAGTTAGTGGTGACACCCCATATGTGAACTCTAACATTTAGAGGCTGCCTTCATGGTGAAGAGACATTAGGGATTGAGAGAATAAGCATGCGCATTTTTCGCATCAAATTGTCCTGACCCCACTGGTCGAGAGTGAGCGATTCATTTTCTCATATTATCTATACTCTTTACCCCGGTGAGGACCTAGATTGCTCGGTCTCAATTCTGATATCTTGAGTTTTGTGCATGAGGTGACTGTCTTGAGTAAGTGGTTGAGTCAAGTCTATGTTGGTTGATAAACAGAAGGGAGACTCCTCCTTTACTCAATTTTGCTGCACTCGAATGTTGTCTGTGGTGGTTGTCCAGGTTGCGGTTGAAGTTGTTCATGTGTTGATGTCTAAAAGCTAGTATGATTCCCGTGTTTAGTGCCGATATGATATGTCCCCAAGAGTTGCATGATTGAAATGTGGTGAGCTTTCCTTGTATCTGACTTGGTTTGCTTGGGGACAAGCAAAATGTTAAGTGTGGGGGAATTTGATAGCGTCGTATTTGCATATGTTTTCACCCTCGTTCCTTGATCATTTTGGCTAGAGTTTTTGATTTCTTGGACTATTTTACGCTATTTTGTGTTCCTTTGTCACATTTCAGGTCCTAGCATGTAAATTGAAGCAAAGGCGCAAGTTTCAAATCAATCGGAGATCATTTGGCAATTCGGGAGAAGAAACACGAGCATGACCTGAGGAATAATGGATTTCTACCTCATATTATGGACAAATTATCATGGAAGTTTGTTATGAAAAGAAAGAGGACGAGACTACGAGCGTCTGGGTTCAAAAGGCGACTGATTCGGAGTCCGGACGAGGGAGAAACGAAGCATTAAACAGGAGCGGAGGAAGAATTACGGGCAGGAGAATTACGACCGTATTTACCCCTCCCATGCCCATATTTTCACTGCCGAGAGGAGCTTTGGGTGCGCTGAAACTTAACCAAAACGCGTGTTTTGGGCAAAATACGGGCATGGAAGAATTACGACCGTAATTCAGCCCGTAATTCGCCTAGAATCGGGTTTTTATGCAGATTCGAGCCAAAGGAGAGGGAGTCGACTTTTTGGAGAAAAAACGGAGTTTTAAAGAGAGAAAGGGCAAAGAACAAACCCTAGGAGCTATTTGGAGTGGATTTCTCACCATTGAAGCCCAGATTGGATCCCCAGGAGTGAAGATTGACATCCCAGAGCCGATTCTTCCCATTGTTATGAGTATGACTGCTTTGTATTCTGTTTCCCTCCCTCTCTATCTCACTTGGGTGTGAAGAACCCTAGTTCCATGTGTTAGGAATCTTGATTGTAATTACGTTTGGATTGTGAAATTGCTTGATTATAATCGATTGAAGTGTTTTGTTTGAGTCAATTGAAATCTGATCACCTTTTATTGATTTCTGCTGCAACCTGAGATAGATAGAATCTGATTAGGTTGTTAAAGCTTCTTCGATCGGTAGTAGTGAATCGATTATACGAGAGTTATTCAATTCACTGCTTTGTACTGGAATCTAATTCCAGTAGTGGAGTTCTGTGTTCATTGCCTCAGTGTTCTATCCCGGTGAAGACTAGTCGTCTGCCGGGAAGTTTGACTGAGAGGGCTTGGTCAGCTTAAGAGATTCCAAGCTACTGTCGGATCTTTCGCAGTATAATCAGCAGTAAAGCAACCAAAAGTAATTACAACTGAGACCTAACTAATGAGCTAGGGGGACTCATTCTCGAGTGACTCTTCCTTTGCTTTAGAAAACTGAACCATTTCCTGATTTCTTACTGATTTTACTTAAATCAACAATCACTTGACTTATTTGGCTAGATAATAGATATTCACGGAGTAGGCAGTAGATCTAGACCCCGGGTTGACATTAGAGCTTGCCTGTTACTGCATTTCCGGACTGCGATTACACTTGGTCGCAGTTTGGTGTTGTGTTTTAGCGTGTCAGATCTATCACACATGAAAAAGACGATCGACACAAGTCATCCATTCATTTATTTAAGCTCAATGAGGATGCACAAGACCGGATTTCAACAATTTAAGCTCAAGTGCACACAAAACTCATTGAGGAATGGTTCTAGGTGATCACGGATGATCAAAACACAATATCAAACCCATACCACGCCTCGATGGCTTCCAACCACCATTCACAACAAATGACTTCAAACATAATGCCCTTGGTGGGCAAATTCCACAATTGATCACAAACTATACCCAAATCAAGCCTACCAAGGCTCAATTAAGCTCATAGAATCAACATGCAACATTCATTTAACATTAATCGACTAACCCGTCGCCCAATTTCAACATTCATTCAATTAAATCGCAAATTCCCCTCACCTTCATCCTAATCCGATTCACCAAAAATTGACAATCAAAAAGTTGAAAACAAACATGGAGACTCCAGTAGGATTCAAGGGGGAAGTGAGGACAGGGCGAGGGAGTAAAAAGATCCACGAAAACTGGCTAGAGGGGGGTCTCTGATAGACCGTCATTTACACATGTTTTTACCCTCATACTTACACCGTTTGAGGTGTTGATTCTCGTGTTTTAGGACAATTTCACGCTAGGTTGTGCTTGTTTGTGTTATTTCAGGTCCTAGTACGTGAATGAAGGCTTAGGAGCGAGTCTGGGGTCGATTGGACGAAGAACGGACGAAGGGCGAGCTTTTTGGGGAGTGCACGGGCAGACCAGGAGGCTGCACGGCCGTGCACTTGAGCCATTTGGCCGTGCACCTCATGTCGAGGCCATGCACGGCCAGACCCTGAAGATTGCACGGCCGTGCGCCTGGCCGTGCAAGATGTACGAAGGCAGACTAAATGAAACGGCGCGTTCCAGGGTGCACGGCCAGAATGGTGATGTGCACGGCCGTGCACCTGGCCGTGCAACTCGGGGGAAACACGGTTTTAAAGCCTAATCCGAGCCAGAAGTGGGAGAATCGCGTTTTGAGAGCAAAAACAGAGCCCTAGAGAGAGAAAATTTGAAGAACACATCCTAGAAGCTGTCTTAGAGCTGGAGTTCATTGAATCGAGCTTGGAGATCGTCATAGGAGTGGAAATCATCGTCCCGGAGCAGATTATCCTCATCGTTATGAGTATGACTAATCCGATTCTTGTTTTCTCTTCTCTCTCTATGGAGTAGAACCCTTCTCTCACTTGGGTATGAAGAACCCTAGTTCCTTGTGTTAGGGATTTGATTGTAATGACTTGGGATGATATTACTGTTTGATTTTAATCGAATGACGCATGTTTAATGAATTGATTTGAGTCTGATCAGCTTTTCTCAATTTCTGCTGCAACCTGAGATAGATAGAATCTGATTAGGTTGTTAGAGCCTCTTCATTCGATAGTAGGAGATTGGTTATACGAGAGTTAGCCAGTTTACTGCTTTGTACTGGTGTTCTTGGCGCCAGTAGTGGAGTTCTGTGTTCATAGCCTCAGCTTTCTATCCCGGTGAAGACTAGTCGTCTGCCGGGTAGTTAGACTGAGAGGGCTTGGTCAGCTTAAGAGATTCCAAGCTACTGTCGGATCTTCCGCAGTCTAATCAACAGTAAATCAACCCAGGGAATTGCAATTGAACCTAACTAAGGGGCTAGGGGGACTCAATCCCGAGTGACTCTTACCTGCTTTAGAAACCCGAACAATTTACTGCTTTCTTGTTGCTTTTACTTTTCACAACAATCACTCGACTTAGTTTGCTAGATAATAGAGAATCACGGAGTAAGCAGTAGATCTAGACCCCGGGTTGATAATTAAACTTACCTATACTGCAGTCCCTTTCATTGGTTACACTTGGCCATTGTTAGGTGTTGTGTTTTAGCGTGTCAAGTTTTTGGCGCCGTTGCCGGGGATACTCTAGGTTATTGAGGAAACGTGATAATTTGTTACTCTATCTTTTATTTACTGCATTTTCTTTCTTCCACCTGTGTGCCTTCACGGGTTGTTTCTTCTGATTGTGTGCAGGTAGTGCATGACCCGTAGCCAGTCGGGAGATCTACTACCATTAGACCAGGAGCTTGAACGAACTTGTAGGAACTTCAAGCGGGCTCTAAAGGCGCGACTGGCTGCGGAGGAGGCGCTGTCACAGCTACAGATCGGAGAAGAAGAAGAAGAAGGCGAGATGGGTGATCCGCAGAACAACAATGTGATCCCCGGGGAGCAGACCATGGGATCCTACTAGACCGCTAGGGCTGCGGACATGAGGTCACCCATTCAACACCCTCAGGTCCCAGCCAACAACTTTGAGGTGAGCACCTCTGTGATCACCATGCTGCGCGGTTCAGTAGTGTTCCGTGGTAAGGAGGGCGAGTGCCCTCGATCACATCTCAGGCGATTCCACGAGCTCATCGATGGAATCAAGATCAATGGGGTACCGGTAGACGCCATCCAGCTGAGGTACTTCCCTTTCACTCTGGAGGGGCAGGCCAAGGAGTGGCTAGACACTCGACCTCCGGGCTCCATCACCACGTTCGCCAACCTGGCGGACAAGTTCCTCACCCGCTACCATCCTCCATCCAAGACAGCTGATCTCCAGAAGCAGATTACACATTTTGCTCAGGATGAGGATGAGACCATCAGGGATGCATGGGAGAGGTACAACAGCCTTTTCCTCAGGTGTCCCAATCATGGTTTCAACGATGCGTTCAAGGTGGGCACCTTCTATCACGCCCTCTTCCCGGAGGACAAGCAGCTGATCGATTCGGTTTGTGGCGGGAACATGCTGACCAAAACCCCGCCACAGCTGAATCAACTCTTTGAAGAGATGGCGGAGAATGGTTATGATTGGGGCACTGCCAGGAGATCGAGGAGAGCACCAGGCCGGGGTGTGCATGCTGTGGGCACCCAGTCATCTGATTTGGTGCAGGTAGTATCGAAGCTGGTCTCAGCTATCGATCGTTCCGGGATGATTCCAGGGACCGGACAGCAGCAGGCGATGCTCTGCCAGTGGTGCGAGAGCACCCATCATATGGTGGAAGACTGCCAGGCGATGAAGGAATCGACCACACCCCAGGAGCAGGTGAAACTTCATCAACAATGTCAGGCGCAATGACCCCTACAGCAACACGTACAATGAGGGGTGGCGCCAGCATCCTAACTTCTCCTGGGCTGGGCCAAATCCCAGACCACCAGCTCCACAGGGACCACCGGGCTTCCAGAGGCCACCATATCAGCCCAGACAGGGGAAATTCCAGCAGCCAGGTGCAGCCCCTGCTGCCCCAGTACAGAATGATCAGATGGCTGAACTGCGGGACTTGGTGGGTTCTCTCGCCAGTGTTAGTGCTCAGAAATTCAACACCTTTGAGCAGTTCATGGAGAAGGCCTCGGGTCAACTCCTGGCTCTGGAAGCTGGTCAGAGGAATACACAGGCTGTTTTGCAAGATATCCAGACCCAGCTGGGGAGCGTGGCCCAGTCAGTGGCTAAAAGGGCTCCTGGTACTCTACCAGTGCAGACCATTCCTCACCCGCCGACCCCGAATGAGCGCTGCAATGCCATCATGACCAGGAGTGGCAAGATGACTGTTGATCCCCCTGCTCGGGAACCGGAGAGAGAAAGCCCTGTTGCAGCATCTCCAGCGGTTGAACAAGAAGTTGAGAAGGAGGTTGAGGTGCCTGCACCTAAACCGCAACCAGTAGTGAAGGAGTATGTCCCTAAACTCCCTTTCCCTACTCGGTTGCACAAAGACAGGCTGGAGACAGAGTTCGAGAACTTCATGGCCATGCTCAAGAAGCTGAATGTCCAAGTGCCCTTCCTGGAGGCACTATCGCAAAATGCCGAAGTATGCGAAGTTTCTGAAAGAGCTTCTCTCCAAGAAGCAGAAGCTGAGTGAGTTGGCCACTGTGGAGCTCAGCGAGGAGTGCTCGGCT